TGAAGGGAGCTCTCGAATGCTCTCGTGGCTCAACGAGCACGCGTGCGCGTCAATGCGGTTCGAGCAGTTTAAGAGCTGTCGGTCCAATCCTATCCCGATCCTTTGCATCCCCTGACTTTTAAAAGTCTTGCAAATCCTATTTTTCCTTAATTCTTCTTTAACGTCGTTGCCAGTGATAATAAGTGACATGTACAACACGTCTCAATTATACACTATATTTTATACATATAAAATTGACTTGTTTTGCATTAAATTAAAAAAAAAAAAATGATTAGACTTTAATCTTTCCTGGAGTAATATTTGCTCCGTTTGTCATAAAATTGGGGCAAAATTGTGCTCAACTCTTACGATATCATGCGTTGCAATCATATCGTGTGCCATATCGTTTGCGCTTCGAGCAAACATTTGTATTTGATATTATTTACCAGATGCAGGTGCTGTTAATGAACGATAGTTGGATCGGTCTCGAGAGATTTTGATACACGTTGCATCGACATCGTTCTCACGTGCAATGGCGGGAGATCCATTGCTCGATAGGCCTGTTTCTTTCTAACACTGTCGAATTAACCTCATCCACGGCCCGGAGCACGTGTAAACACGGTGAACGAGGATGAAGAATGATAAATGAAACCGGTCGAACGGATTAATTTGTAATCGTTCCTTCTTTTTTTTTTTTACCGTGGATGATCAGCGTGTACTTTTTGTGGAATCGGTGGCTCAGCTTTGCTATAGATTGATTTCGTTTCGATTGTTTCTTTTTGCCTTTCTTTTTTTAAATATCGTTCGGTCTTGTTATTGTCACGGGATACAGTTTCTTTTGGCCAAGCAAAAATGTAATAAAATTCTAATGCATATGCATTTCACAGCCAAGCACGGTTTAACTAGCGGGTGTATGCTAATTTGAGGCGTTGTAAAGAAGATTTATCGAGTAGCCGAGTCGGTTGTTTGTTTCAAACCAGATATTTGCAACGAGATTTGATTTGAATTAAATAGACAGTAATAATTAATGGATTTTCAATAGAATCATTTGACATTGTTATACAGAAATATTTAGTTTATGAGAAAGTATGAAATTTTAATTTCTGGTTATTAGAAGAGACATCTTGACAATTGGAATGTAATGTAAAACGAGAAAGTCTCTATCGACCAAATATAGTTGTCGCGAGGTCGAGTCTCGAAATCGTCAGAATGGAATTCCAGTAAAGCTGACGTAATGGAATTCCGGTTGTAAGCGTGAGGACTCAATGTTGTATTGTCGCTTTATCAAAGGATGTGTGTCAAAAGAAAAAAGAAAGAAAAAAAAAAAGAAAAATACACAAAGTCGTGCGTGCAGTTGAATCTCGAAAACATTCATCGTATCTTTAATACTTCACTTTCAATTTACCATAATAATACTTACCGTAAGTATAATAATACCTTTGTAAGTAATATCTTTGCAATCGTACAAATAGACAAAATAAAATTTTTTGAATTTTTCATCCATCTCTTCTCATCATAAATGTTATAAATACACTTCACGAAAGGAACAAATGAAGAAGTATCAATCATCTAACCCAAACAAATTAATAAAAAAAAAAAAAAACCTACTTTTACAATAAAAAGCACACTTCCATTCGAACTTGGTTATAAAAAGAACGCTCCATTCACACACCCCCATCCATCTGGTCCGCGAGGGTCTTCTTTCAATCACCCGGGCCGCGGGTGTGTGGGTCGCTCGACTCCATCGTGGAGAAGAGCAGCTTAATTAACCTCTCGTTCACGAAAATGAAAATTTCGAAAACCTACGTACACCAATTAATTGCAAACAAGAACTCGAGAAAGTACTCATAGAAGGAGATAAAAAGACCGAGGAGGAGGACAAAGCAGAGGAGGATTAAGAACGAGCGAGGAAATGAAGAAAGACCGATAGAAGAAGAGAAACTCGAACGGAAGAGAAGAGAGAGAAGAAGAAGAAGAAGAAGAAAAAAGAAGAAGAACGGGGGGGCCTTCGAGATTGGAAGTAGGGTTGGGGCGGAGGCACGGACGGACGGGAAGAGAAGGAGATAGATAGTTAGATAGAGAGAGGGAGAGAGGAGCGAAAAGAGAAAGAAAAGCGTGCACGGTGACGGTCAGCGAGCGCGAGGCTGAACCCTGACCCTTCGTCCGTTGTCGTCCATACTCGTTCCCCGGCTCGGCTCGGCTCCTCTTTCTCCCACCCACGGTGCCCAACGACTTCGTGGGGCCGCAGCGTGGGCGAAACTCAGGCGCGGGGGAGTGGGGAGTTCCTGGGGCCCGAGGTGGGCCGCGTGGAGGGGAGGGGGGGG